AGGCTGCCACAGTATTTCCGAGGAGGGGATCTGGTGCCACTGAAGATCAGGAGAAGTGAAGGGGTTTGAGGTACTTTGCGGGTAAACCAGGCAGAAGAGTGGATTCGTTTGTTGTGTGTATGTGGTGGCGTAGCAGTGTGGGCGATGGTGAAGGTTTCCAGCCACGCAGCTTGGGGCAGAATTAATAGGGAAAGGCCAGGTGTGGGAGTGAGGAGGGCCGAGAGTTAAATTTGGTCATGTTCTATTCGGGATGTCTTGTCAGACGTCCAAGTGGCTACGTCAGTAGCCATCTGTCTGTTTGTGTCTGAATGCCAAAGTGAGATCTGCGGTTGGAGCTAACATCAGGGAGTCATTGCTACGTAAGCGGTATTTAAATAACAGTGTGGATGAAAACACAGGAGTAGGTGAGAAGGGGGCTTTGAGCCCCCGGCGTTCCCACTGTTGATTCACGGGCTGATTGAGGGGAGCAGGCTGGCAAGAGGTACACAGACCAGGAGACTCCACAGCCAGAAAGCCCCTGGGTGCTTAGGGCTTTGGGAAGTCAAACAGCGTGAGCCCTGAATGTGCGCATTGGACGTTAATTGCGGAAGCTTTTCCTTTTGACGTTAAGTCAGAGTCGGCTTCAAGCGGTGGGCTGGCTGGAGCTGGACAGGACTGTAGTGAAGGCAGCGTTTGTGTCCAGAGTTGGCTGCAGACTGGGCGTCTGATGGGCCTCACTCAGTTCATCTGCATTGCCTTCTGAAGTCTCCATTTAGAAAGGAAGAAAACAGCCAGTATCCCAGCGTGGCTTGTGTCCCAGGCGCTGTTAATTGATGACGCTCACGTGCTCCCTCAGTCCCCGTGACGGTCCTGTGGGAAAGATGAATCTTCCTGGGGGATGTGTTAGGTGGTTAAGCGGTCACAGCGTTCACCACTTGGCGGGCACGGCCGAGTCTAAGCCCATCTCGCCATGTCTGTGCCGACTGCGTTGAGGTTCTTGCTTTTCGCCACCATTGTCTGCACAGACACTGGCACATTATTGCAAATACAGGACAAATCGATTGGACTTAGGAGAACATGAGCTTTGAACTGGGAGCAGAGATGTCTAAGCAGTGGCATCTGACACACTGGTGACCTCTGGTCACATGTGGCTCAGACAGTGGTTCAACTATTAGGAGAGGGCGGCTTCATCCTGCGACTTCTCTCCTTGTCCCGTTGGTGACAGTGGTCTGGTAAGGTTTCCCCGCATTTTTGACACTGCTGGGCACTAAGATGTCCCCATGCAGCAGTAGCTGGAGCTCAAAAGTGAAGATACCCACAGGAGTTAATTACTAGCCCTTTGCAGTACTGATGAAGGGGTGCTGATTTTCTGCTGCTTTGCGGATGTTCTTGCCAGTGGTCAGGTTTGTGGTTCCAGGAGATGTGAGGTTGCTGTGCTCCTACGGGCCGTCTCTTCTGGGTAGGAATTTCCAGGCTCACTTTGCCTTGTGCATCTTGCCTGCCCGCCCCAGGAGTTTGAATTGTTTTTTGTCTCTCGAAAGAGTGTACAGTTGATCCCTGAGCAACGTGGGGCTTAGGGGTGCTGACCCCTTGCAGTTGAAAATCTGTGTATGACTCTTTGACTCCCCCAAAGTTAAAGTCTATTGTTGACCAGAAGCCTTACCGATAACAAAGTTGATTGGCATGTACTTTGTATGTTATATGTATTATATCACTGTATTCTTACAGTAAACTAGAGAAAATATTAACAAAGTCATAAAGAAGAGAAATTGCGTTCACAGTATTGTATTTATTGATAACATAAGTTTACATCATATTTTTACAAGATGAATTGTCTGTCAGTATCTGTGTGACAAAAATGAAAAGATAATGTGAAAACAATTCACGTTTGTTTATAGGTATGATAATTCGTACATCGCTAATGAAACAGCAGCAGTATGATTGCTTTACGGTAGCCTAGTGTAATCGATACGATTGCTTCACGATAGCCTAGCCTATACACTAATGAATGAATCATAAAATTTTTATGACATACAGTATTACACTCATTCATAATACAGTATTGGAAACATTGTTACATTTTTAAAAAACCACTTGTGATAAGCTGATACTGGAGGGAGAGACATACTGTGTGGTTATGTAATTCTTTGAAAGCAAAGTTATAGAACGAAAACTAAAATGTTACTAATTTTGGATTAAATATCACTCCCCTTATACCTGTGTAAGGATGGACTGGTATATATCTACATTATATCTTTTTCATTCGTGGTTTACCTAACTTTTTCTTAATTTTTTCAGTATTTCTAGGCTTCATGGTTCTTCTGAGTTTTTTCAGATTGTTTCAAATCTCCAAAAAATTTACCAATCTTTATTGAAAAAAATCTGCATACAAGTGGACTTGTGTAGCTCAAACCCATGTTATTCAAAGGTCATTTATAGTTTTTTTAAAAAATTCAATTTTAATAAAATTAACATGCACGATGCACATCTTAAACTTACACAAGGTTATATGTCAATTGTATCTGGATAAAGCTGGAAAAACAAACCAAATTCAATTTTAGGATATCTTTGATCTTAATTTTCTTATTGTTTTACTAAAGTATTTGAATTAAATGAGTTAATGTTTATAGAATACTTAGAATTTAAACACTTAGAATTACGCCCACTATACCTGTTTTGTTAAATTTAAAAAATTTTAAAGTCCTGTTTTGTGCTTTCTCACAAAGATGCCTGTGCACTCCTCCCTCTCATTGATAAGGTTACATTTTATTTTTAAATTTTTATTTAAAAAAATGAGATATAATTGATTTGAGACATATTGATTTCAGTCATTTACGTCTTGCAATGTGATTGCCACCTGAGTTAGCTAACACCTCTTGCATTATGAAATCAGCATTTTTTTTTGTTGCGGTGAGAACGTTTAAGATCTAGTCTCTCAGCAACTCTGAATACATGACACAGTATTGTTGGTGGTAGTCACCACGCTGGGCGTTAGCTCTCCATAGCGCATTGAAAAATCTCCACACTGGTCAGACGTACACAACGTGGGTTGTAGAGGTACTTGTTTCTCCAGCACAGCTCTTTTTGCCTCCCCACCCTGGAATAGTATTTGGTGGTTTTGGAGAGCTTGGAAGCATTGCAGGTTAATGAAGGTAATGGGATTCCATTCTGCAGTTCCAAGGCTTAAGGCTTCGATTCTCAGGGGTGTTCCCTTTCCTCTCCCTTGCAGTTCAGTGGACAGTTTTTCTCGTCTCCCTTTCTTGCAGTTACAGCCTTTTGAGGAGACTAAATTATGGATTTTCATTGCGGCCATTAGTGCCACAGAAGCAAGTCCCGTCCTGAAAGCACAGCAACAGCCCCGCCCCCTCGGGGTCACCGTTCTTGGTGTAATTAATTCTCTGTTTCTGGCACTTTTAACTGCTTCAGCTCAGCTGGCTCTTCAGAGGTGTTGGTTGGGTTTTTATCTAACATTTCTAGAGATTTTGAGGTAGTAGGAGGGGTTTCTAGTTTTGATTCCCCTGTGGTATCTTTGAGTTGTTTTTTGCACGAAGTCCCTGGACTGGCATGGAGGGGCTTTTTTCTCTGTGTGTTCTTCCTGAGCCTTGTATGTGGAGTCCTCTGTGAGTGTCCGATGAGGGCTGCACAGGCTCATGTGCGCACCCGCGTGCTGAGTCATGATGCAGCAGATTTTTTTTTTTTTACCATGGGTTGCTCCCCAGTGTTGAAAAGTAGAAGTATAATACAACTGTGCATCCTGTTTGAGATGGGGATATTTCCCAGTTGTGACATTATTTAACCCCAGCAAAGTGGCCTCAGGGAGGTCGTGATCTCATGTATTTGTTTACAGTCAGAACATTTCATTTGAAAATCTGTTCCTAGAATTTTGGGGGAAGGCTACTGAAAGCCTAGCTTCAGTTTTTTTTTTTTTTTAAACTACGCTAATTTTTTTGTTTGGTTTTGTTTAATATTTATTTAGGCCGTGCCAGGTCCTAGTTGCGGCATGCAGACTGCCAGTTGCGCCATGCAGGATCTAGTTCCCCGACCAGGGATGGAACCCGCGCCCCCTGCATTGGGAGTGTGGAGTCTTACCCACTGGACCACCAGGGAAGTCCCCTGGCTTCAGTTTTGAGCACAGCTGCTTGATAGAAGAACTTTGCTTTATTGGGTGAAGTTACTTTGTACTCTTGCGTGGAATAGGCCTGTTTCTTGTAAGTTTTTGGCCACTGGCTTGATGAGGTGACTTAGTCAAATGTAAAGAAGTAAACTCGTTAGACTTCACATCTTAAGAGGGAGCAGATGTGTAGGTTGTGTTCGGTTTGTGGGACCCGAGGCTCGGTCCTCCCGGTGGTGGTGGAAGCAGCAGGGATTCGTCATCCTGCGCTGTGTAGTGATGGGGGGGGCGCTGCAGGTGTCCCCTGAAGGCCTGCTTTTTGGGTGCCCTCTCACTAGGACTGCCAGCAGGGGCACAGTGTGTTTGTTTTCATGTCTGACGGATGGGCACGGGAGGCCAGAGGGGCAGTTACAGGAATAGCCCTGAGTCAGAGCCAGGGGCCGTGGGAGGGTGTTGGCTGGTCAGTAGGAAGGGCTGCCCGGCTGTGAAAGGTGTCTGCCGTTCCTGTGTAGCGTCCCCAGGGCAGCGACAGCATGTTTGTCAGGTGGCCGCAGGCTTGCCCGGTGCCTGGGACAGGAGTGCAGGGCGTGAGGAGGGGACCGATGCTCTGGGCTGCTCAGCAGGGGCCTGGCAGCTGGTGGCCGGCGGGCCCGAGGCTGGTGCAGAGTCACCTGTCGGTTTTATTTAGTTGAGACTATTCTTAGCTCATTTCAGAGCGTTTTTTCCTACGTCGGGAAGGGTCTTAGGGAGTGAGCCTTGGAATCAGCTCCCAGATGAGGCCCCGGCCCAACAGGCTGGTGGTTAGTGCCCAGGCAAGGCGACACCCCTCACCCCTGCTCTGTCCGCCCCTGCCCCCAAGATGAGCCCAGCCTTGGCAGTCTTGTCACTGACCATGGATTTCTGATTGCAGGACTCGTTTCCAACAGCCGGTTAAAACATGGTGGATTACTATGAAGTTCTAGGCGTGCAGAGACATGCCTCAGCCGAGGATATTAAAAAGGCGTAAGTAATCGTATTTCTGAATGAGTTAATCTGTGCACTAGTATGCTGGTCATTTGCAGTGTAACTTTATATCGCCCCTAGAAACGGCACTTCAGGTGGTGTGAGTCTCTGACTGCTGCAGTCTAGTTTGAATTGTAGACAGCGTTTAACAAGTTAGCTTTTGCCTCAGACCTAGGCCCACCTTACCACCTGTCATTCAGGGAGAAGAGGGCACTTGGTTTCCCCTGTCACTTTGTCTTGGGACAGTGGGTTCCATTTCTGCTGGAATCAGATCAAAAACTTGCTGAGAATGTGAAATCAGCCTAAAGCACTTTGATGCTGGACTTGGAAGTGGAGCTGCCTTGGTGCTCGTAGGGTTGTCGCCATAGCATCCTTGGTGTAGTTGCTTAAAGGTCCCCGTTGCATGACCCTGTCCTGGTCCACGTTCACGCTTGAGCCTAGCGCTGCTGTCTGTCTTTGCTGAACCTTTGTGACCAGGGCCTGGCCCACGGGAGGCATCTGAGGCAAGTCTCAGGTCACGGGCAGCTCTCAAGGTAAACTGGGATCGATTTAATTCAGTGTTAACGTACAGCAGAAGGTTGATAGATTTTTAGCCTAGCTCCAGACTAATGCGTAAGCCTGGAATAATAGGGAATCAGTTTCCGGTTTGTGTTGCAGGAACTAGCTTTTTAAGGCTTAATGAAGTCTATACTACTAGACTCAGTAGGTGTGCAGATGGAAATGAAGGATTTTTGAACCAGGTCGTTCTTTTAAAAATGCTCAACTAATTCAGCAGGTTGACTGCTGTTGGGCATACCTGAAGCTGCTTGCAGAATATCCCTGTGTCAGACCTTGGCCAAGAAACAGTGGGGACCAGGCGGCCAAGGACGTACCTTAGAGCTGTGTCACCAGTGGGCTGTGGGGTTCCTCACACTCGCTCACGGTTACAAGCAAGAACAGTTTGGTACAGTTGGAAGTAATTGTACTGTTCTTAATAAGTGTAATATGTGCACAGTACTTACATTAACTGATGGAAAATCATGCCTGTGTTGTGCCAGACACGATTAGAGCACAGTGTCTCTGGGTGACTAAAGCAGTGGAGTGGAGAGGCGAACACATGGTGCCCCTTAACTCACTGTGTTATACCTTGAATCTAAAGGAATCTAGCAGTCTTTCACAAGGCGTAGATAATTGAACCTTATTCTGGACGCGCGTACATTTCTTCACTTTCACACGAGCATGCTAGTGCAAACCAGTTTTTTCTCTCTTTATCCTTTTGTAGGGTTTGTCTTTTTTTAAACGGAGGGTTTGTAGTAGCACTTGAGGGGTTTTGGTCTGCTACTGCATGGTTAGGTCCACAGTGATTTAATAATAAAGTACTGTTTTATCATTAGATTCCAGCTTTAATCCGATTTTAATAAGTTAAGCTGAGGTTTTTGATTAAAATGCTGAAATTAAATTGAACCACAGCAGCCTTACATTAATAACTTGCCAAGTGTTAGAAGGACTGTTTGGTTCGTGTTCTAGTCTTAGATTTTTAAGGAGCACGCCCTCTCCCTGTCTCGTGCCCCCCCCCCCGCCCCGAAATGTACACCGCTTATGTGTAGCTAATTAGAAAAGAGGATTTTTTTTGTTATTTGGAAAGCATGTACTTGTTAATGTTAATTGGAACCATGGAGCAGACCGACCTTGGTCATGGAATCTTTAAGTGAATCTTGAATTCAAATCTCAAGTCGTGAAAGATGCTGGAATATTCCACTGTGCTGTGGCCAGTGGCCCACCTTCGCCCACTGATGCGAAAGTAATGGGCTGGTCAGGCGATGGGGACATAGGGATAGGGCCAGTCACGTTGGCTCCTTCCTCAGGGAGCAAGGCCTTTGTCTGCACGCGCTCCATTTTCTCAGCCTTAGCACCGTGAGTGCATGCTGCCCATACTTTGGTCCTCACACATTTTAAAAACGATTTTTTATCTCTAGATGTGGGTTTGTATTATGCTGTCGATTTTAGAACCTTTTTTTTCATTCTGGCAGAAAGGGAGATGTTACAATAGAGACTAAGGTTAATCTCGCTAGTTTGCAGCTGTGATTTTTTTGCTTAATTATGTTTGAAAGTCCACTGGCTTTCTGGACATTGGATTGATCAGGACCCTTTTACTCCTTTTAAGATACAGGAAACTGGCACTGAAGTGGCATCCAGATAAAAATCCTGAGAATAAAGAAGAAGCGGAGAGAAAATTCAAACAAGTAGCCGAGGCGTATGAGGTGTTGTCGGATGGTGAGTAGCCCAGCGTGGGCTGTGCCCTCCCCAGGGCCTGCGGACGGAGGGGTGGCTGAGTGAGCTGTGGGACAATGAGAAGGGTCTTTCTTGTGCACACTTGACATTCCTGTTCCTGGCAGCCACCTGGTAGGTTAGCCATGAGTGCTGTGGGCACCCTGGCCTCTAGACTTCTCCTAGGGTGGCTCTTTTAAAGCAGTCCTGACCCCTGGTCTGGGGACTGACGGGACAGGTCAGGTTGCGGGAATCTGTCTGGGTCACTGTGGGTGCGGTGGAGGCCACCTGTGTAGTTGGTGTCATGACCTCTCATCCCCGTTGCCCTACTGAACACCCTGTGTGAATGTGCTGGCTTCTGCTTGAAAGGATCTCCTGCGCGTCAGGAAATCAGGCATTGCGCGTACAGCTGGGGTTCAGACTTCGCAGCTTGTAGGTTTCCCTCCCCAGGTCTAGAGCTTAGGTATTGAATGGAACTGAAAGTCAGATCTGCTGGCTTAGTTTCAGGGGTCATGCGGAAGGTAGCTGTCAGCCAGATAGATTCCCCGGCTTCTTGGTAAGAGAAGCGTTGTGTGTGGGCCGTGTGGTAGGGAGAAGACTGGAGAACTGCTGACGCCACCTCGCCAGGAAGCAGTACAGGAGGGCCTGTATGAGTCGAGGCGGAGACTGTAAAAGATGACAGGTGGACTCACCGGCCACAGGGAGTGGACCCTTTGCTCCAAGTGTCACTACATGTAGCCAGGTTCACTGTTAAAAGAGAGTTCTGATTTTAGAACCAGCTCCATGTGACCGTCACCCGTGTTGACAGCTGACCGTCTTATCCCGTGGTGACACCTGTGTTGACAGGGGACCATCTTGCTTATGTCCTAACAGCCCCTCCCACTTTATTTTGAAGGAAGGCCTAGTCGTCTTATTTCACAAGTAGCTTTTGTCCTTGTTGTCCTTGTCATTGTCCTGGTGTTGATGTGCTGATCCAGCACTCCCAGATCTGCGGATTTCACGGACCAGGGACACTAGAAAAATGGAGGACTAAAGTCAAGCTTGATTTCTGGTAGAAAGAGAACCTTTAAACTCCCATAAAGATGCTGCTTTTTTGGTTTTTTTTGGTGAGGGCGAGTGTATTTTTCACGTTCTCTTATTCAGCCTTCAATCCCAGGAGTTACCTTCACAGATAGACAGTTACTGTTCTTACAAGTCTCTGATTACCAAAAACTGGCTGTAAATGCTTTGCTTCTACACTTGTTTCCCCATAAACTCCTGTTATTTTACCACACGATTTTGTAGAACATGAGATTTCAGGGGAACACACATTGTGTATGAAAAGAACCTGTACGTCTGAGCAGGGGTGCATCGTAGTTGTTTTTATTCTAGAACACAAATGATAAGATGACCAGGGATAGTAGACCATCATCAAGGCTTGGGTGGGCTCTTGCCTTAGACCAGGGTGATCAAGCTGTAGGCTTTGGGTTGGCTCTTACTCTGGCTGTTACTTAGTTCGTCTCCTTTCTGCCCTCACCAAGTCCCTGTCCTGTTCCTCTTTGTGCCACAGATCTTATCCCCCAGTTGGACTTTGTAGTAAGAAGGTACATGTCTAGGGTTGGAATCGTTTTGCAACTTAATGGTGGGGTTTTGATGTAGTATGCATGGGCGCAGTGAGCAGTAGAGTGAAATAAATGTTTTAAACTTTGTAGTACTTAAAAACGTTGCGAGTTGTTTTTAAGGGAGAGAAGCACTTAGATGTTCCCTCTTTTGCCTTTTCATCTACAGTAAGGGAGGCCTAGCTCTTTAAACTTGATCGTGGAAATTGAGAACCACAGCGGGTCTTTGGGTTTACAACTTTGGAAACACTTTATTGAATTTTGAGGGCAAAGAACAACTTGGTCTTTACTGACTTGTCTTTTTAAATTTATAGCTAAAAAACGGGACATCTATGACAAATACGGCAAAGAAGGATTAAACGGTGGTGGTGGAGGTATGTGTGTACACGTTGGTCTTTCTCTTGGCCTTGTAGTGACAAGAGGAGGTGGTCTGACGGCAAAGGGTCTTATGGGGGTTCAGTGTGTTATTTCTCTTGGACACTCATGTTTCAGTAAATACAAACGCAGTCTGGAGGGTGGGCTGGATGGGGGAAGGGAGGAGAAATTGATAACACGGAAAAAGCCTATTAAAAATCTCGTTATACTAGGAAGTGTATATTGGTGTACATTTTGTAGATAGGAAATACTGTAAAACCTCACGTCATGAGTTTGTACCCTGAGAGCAGTACCTGGTATGTCAAATAGCCTCAGGGTTTAAAAAAACAGATTCTTTCGCTAAAGTAACTGCCTCTGGTGGTGAGGCCTAGACGTGTGTATTTTTGATGAAAAGTTCCTGCAGTGATCTGCTGTCCTGCCGGCTCCACAGTGGGCATTTGGACATTCACGCTCCAAACTGACCGTACACACGTATGAGTGAATGTTTATGTGCTTGGCTTAAGTGAAGTTTCACAACAAAGAATAAAAATAGTGTAATATTGTGTGCTGATGACACATTTAGAGATGGTGAGACAGCCCTCGGGTGCTGTGTGCAGCTCAGGAACGCTGACGTCCAAGCACATTTCCCAGCTCTGGGCTCAGGTGGTTTTGATCTCGGTAGGGCTTGAGAGAGCCTCAGGTTTATGAAACATTTTCCTTTTTTAGATCATGATTTATACTGAAATATAATGTTCTGTAGACAAGTGATTGTGTGTCAGCTGCGAGCAGGAATCCGTAACAGAGCTGTGCTTGCTTCTGTAGGTGGAAGTCATTTCGACGGTCCGTTTCAGTTTGGCTTCACATTCCGAAACCCAGATGATGTCTTCAGGGAATTTTTTGGTGGAAGGGACCCGTTTTCATTCGACTTCTTCGGTAAGTTCACCATCTGCGTCGTTGGTTACATAATGTGTCCGTGACTCACGAAGACAGACATACCCGTTCTGTTTAATCGCAGTTGTAGCTTGTCCTTAAACTTGCTGTCTGAGCAGTGCAGGAGTTTAACTAAACCCCTTTTCCTTCTCCCTTCAGAACACTTTTCTGAATTTTACACCTTGCGTGTTTACATAATAAAGGCTTTAATGTACTCATTTCCTTGGCTGTGTTTGGCTCTGCTGAACTACCTCTGCAGTGGGAAGGATGTGGACACTGGGGGCTCAGAAATGCTGTTCCTGGTCGGACAATGAATTCTGTGTGAATTTGCTGTGTAGTAGTCTGGTTAAAAACACTAAGTATCGAGGCAGATACTGTTCAGAAGACATTTGATCTATAAACTTGTTTTTGTTTTTCTAATTGTGGTGTTAGGACTATCGAGTTTGTAGTTTTTGAAAAGAAAGGACACCTCTAGAGCAAGGCATCACAGATGTTCGTCTTTGAGAGAATAGCTTTGCCAAAGGAGACCGTCCTGCTGTAGCTGCTGTTTCATTGTAGGAGAGGGTTTCCCATCCGCTGCACCTCTTGGTCCTGGTGCCCGACTAGAGGCAGAGTGTCGGGAGCTCATGTTAGGGTCTGGTGTCGGGAACGTCCTGTGTGCTGGGCGACTCGAGAGGTCAGGGTTCATTCAGCGTGTGCTGCTCAGGCCACTGTTGTCTTGGCTCCTGGAGGGGGAGACATACCCTGTGTTTGCTCCCTTCATTGCCTGGAGCCTGGTTGAGAAGACTGAACGCCACCTGCGGCCCCTCAGGAGGGAGACAAGGACAGCAGTTCTGTCTGCAGCTAACACGGGAACCAGTGGATCCTGCCCGTCGCAGGCACGAAGAGGAGTAAGGCGCTACCGTGTCTGGTAGGTGTTGGGCCTTTTACATGGCGCAGTCCTTCAGTTTATTTCAGATGGGGATTCAGAGAGACTGTCCTTATTTATTTATTTTAACATCTTTATTGGAGTAAATTGCTTTACAACGGTGTGTTAGTTTCTGCATTTCCTTATTTTTTACTGTTGTATGGCTTTACTTTTTAAGAAAGCAGCTTATGGAGGAAAGGTGTGTATGTATGGTAGCGTATATTAGCGTTTTCACGGACAAATGTAACAACAAAAGCTAAGCAGGGGAGTGTTCCAATGGGATGGGGGAGGAGACTATGTCATCTTTTTTGAAGACTTTATTTTTTGCATTAATTACTGCTACCATAAGCAGAAATATGTATTGGGAAGGCTCCCTATAAATATGATACGAAACATAATTACGTCCTTTATTAATTTTCCCTTATATTGGTAAGATATCTTACTGTAAGAAAAACACAAACAGTTTTAATGATCTTTCCCGTCTTAAAATTACCTTGTGTCTCATTACAACCTTTAGCGAGCTCCAGATGTGTTATTTTGGGGGAGCAGGGCAGTGCTGGGTGAAATTGGCCCGGTCTCTGCCACCTCGAGCTGTGATGGGGGTGGCAGAGAAGGCAGAGCAGGCTGCCCTTGCCAGGGCTGTGGCCGGCGGCTCATACATGCTTCTTCATCACTTACAGGGCTTCTCAAGGGAAGAGTCCCTTAGTGCTTGAACAGTAGCCAGGTTTTGTTTTCCTTGGGAGAAAAATCCGACAGGCCAAGCTTTCTCATGAAAAATGATTTTCCTTGAGCCGCTCTTTCTAGAGTGAAGAAGGGGTAGAGATGATAACCAGACGTGGGTGAGTTAAGTAGCATGTGGTTTTCACCCATCGTGAGTACTGATTTTCGCACCTTCTAAATTGAGATTCGTGTATAGAAAGAAATCTTTATGTGCGTATGTAATTCGCTTAGAAGAGTTACAGATTGCAGGACGTACGGTGGAAATTTCTTCCGTTGGATTCAGAGTCCAGTTTAGGAGAGACCTAGTCGTCCTGTAGATCTAGACTCTCGGGCCCTCTGTTTGAGATACCGCGTTGCTCACGTCGTAGCACTAGGCGTTTCCCATGTTTCTCATGATGAGTGTGGCAGCGATAACTTGTCCAGTCCATTCTTGTAGGTGTTCTAGGTGACTTCCATTTTCAGGCTCTCAGGGTTTACACACAGGAAGAGAATCTGCGCCACGGCTACTGCATGTATGAAGTAACAGTGCGGCCCGATGGCGGTATGTTCAGTGCAGATCCGAGTGAACCTAGGGTTGGGGGTTTTCTGCTTTAGCAGTGATTTAGTGGATGTTTCTCAGTATCCAGATCAACCCGGTTATAACTTCCATTTATAGTGGGTGTGTTCGTTTTTCATCTTAATTTTTCACACGACCAACTTTTTTCCGCTCCCGTTTTCCAAAACAAAAAGAGTAGCTCGAAACCTGTTAAAAGACATTCTGAGCGTCGCTTTGCGTTTATCAGAGTATAAAACCCTCTGACTTCAGACTCCCCAGATGAAAGGGGAGGAGACTTGAAGAACCAGAGCTGGTGGGAAGGATTGAGGCCTGAGGGGTGCCGCACAGACTGCCACGCTGCAAGGAATGTTATGTGGTGGGAAGAGGACGTGGGCCTGCAGGCCTGCAGATAGACGCAAGCCTCCTTGACAGACGCCTTCCCAGAGAGGGAGGGGAAACCATTTCTAAGACACTGAAGACTGGCTCTGCAGTGGGGGATGCAGGCCGACCTTTCAAGGCTGACTTTCCCGAATGTAGAGCATGCACAGAACTAGCCTTAGGAGCATGTTAATTGGAAAAAACTAATGAGCAGGGATTATCCTGATGTGAATTAGGGCGGTCCCGTCATTTGTTTATTACTGAAGGAGGCCGTTACTTGCTAGAATGATGTTCTGAGATGGAAAAGCTTCGACCATTACAGCCTAGCAGGAAATGCTGTCTGGGAGGCATTTCTCCTGACTCGTACCCTCTGGTTGGATAGCCAAAACCAGGCTCTGAAACCGAAAGCCTCTTCCCGAGCGAGAGCGAGTTCACTTCGCTCGTGTCCCATCCGTGTGGGCGCGGGTCCTGCGTGGGCACCCGGCCGAGGAGGGGAGAGGAGGGGGCGTGGGTGCAGCGCAGGCAGGCGGGGCTGCAGAGGGAGGGGCGCAGCCAGGCGTGAGGGGTCGTGAGCCGGTCGTTTTGTCCTCCTCCAGGGTCGCGGAGGCGGCTGGCGAGGAGCTGGAGCCTGGGGAGGAGGTGGTGGTGGAGGCCAGCGAGGCCCCGGGGGCGGTAGCCAGCGAGGTGACGAGGAGCCCGGTGGGGTGGGGCGGGCTCCCCAGCAAGGGCCTGGAGGTCACCTCCAGTGAGGACGGGCCCCCGGGGGCCTGAGGGGTGTGAGGACGCAGGCCCGAGCTCGAGGCCCTGCTCCTGCCCCGGTGGGCTGTGCGGTGAGCAGGGGCCTGACTCCCTGCCCACAGTGTGTCTGGAATAAAGACTTCCTGCTGCTAGTGCCTGACGGTCCTTGGGCGGCTCCCCGCGGCCGTTGTGGAGGTGAGTGGAGACGCACGGGGGCCTGGGACGCCCTGCAGGCCACCCTCCACGGGGAAGCCATGTCACAGCCCGAGGCAGCGCCTGTGCTAGTGTCCAAGCTGCGGGAACAGCAGACCCCGAGGTTGGAGCCTGAGACGGTGCGCTTGGCTGGGTCCCTCCCCAGGCCTCTTCCAGCTTCTGGTGGCCTCAGATGGTCCTTTCTGTGTCTTCACATCGTGTTCCCTCTCCGTGTCCAAATGTCCCTTTTTATAGGGACACTAGTGACATGGGATCAGGGCCACCCGAGAGAGCTTGTAACTGGATCGTCTGCAGAAGCCCTACTTCCCACATGAGGTCACAGTCACTGGCCTGTGGGTTAGGAAGGCCGCATCGATGGGGGCGCCGTTGACGGTATAACGTGTGAAGACTTGTCCTGCGGTTTAGGAACAGCACATTTTGAGAGGGGAAGCCTTTGAAGTCAGGCGCGCCGAGAGGAGCTGGACGTGGGAGAGCGCAGCTGCGGCGGTGGGAGAGGCCCTTGGGAGAGGCAGGGGCCCGGGTGGTGACCCCCCGGGTGGGCCTGAGACCCGGTGGCCAGCGTGCCCCCGTCCCGTGCACCCAGGCTCCACCTGCACAGACCTGCACGCGTGGAATTGGAAAGGCGGCAAGGAGTAAGGCTTCAGGTCCACACCAGCAGCGTGTGGAGTTTCCTGCTAAAGGAGTTAAAAGAAAAACACTTTGCGCGAGACTTAAAACGACTACGAAGCCCCTGGTCCCCCACGCTGGGGGAGGGGTGCTGTGGCCAGGAGGACAGGAGGGTGGCTCTGTCCGTGTTTGGGAAGTCTTCTGTCGGAACGGGCAGCAGGCGTTCGAAGATAGTTGGGCGAGGGTGGGTGCCGTGCCGGCGTGCCGTGCCGCGTGTTCCTCTGAGCCAGCCCCCAGCCCATCCCCAGCGGGAGGGGAAAGGGTTTCCTGAAAAGGTCGTGCTCGGTGGTTTTCTGGGCCACAAGAGCAGCAGCCCTGAGGTTTGGATCATCTCCCCCGGGGAAGCCAGCACCTGCCACGAGAGTTAATTTTGAGGGTTTAATGGAGCTCCCGGTGCCACCCAGGGCAGAGCTCCCCGAGTCCGTGTAGGGCTTGCTCACCTTCTCTTCCTCCTGGAGTTGTGCTCCCCCGGCCTCAGGTGCAGGGCGAGGGCAGAGTGCTGGGCGGGTGGCTCCCTAGTGGTTTGTGAGGGGGCGCGTGGCACCAAGAGAGAGAAGGGACCCTGGCGAGACGGGCCACACACTGACCCTCACAGACTCCTTCTGTGAGGGACAGAGAGTCTCAGGGAGCCCCAGACCTCTGCTGGCGTCTGAAATAGGATGGTTTGGGTCCAGTGTGTGTATTTGGGATCCTTGGCTTGGACAGATTTTTGTAATCATTAGAAAATACAGTGCTCCTACGAGACCTGTGATGAAACTAGAAATTGCATTTTGTAACACAATAGTTGCATGCAGAATTGAAAGTATGCTGTTCACTTGGCATGTATTTATTACCTGCTTACTGATC